ACTGCGGCCCATGCTCTGCGGACTCGAGCCGTCATCAGCAGTGCCTTATCCCCCAGGCCCAGCTTAGCAACCCAGGGCTCAATGGCTTGCTCCGATGCCCAGAGGAAACGAAACTCTTGCAAACTTTCGACGCCCAACCGGAGCAGGGCTGTAATTACCCCATCATCCAACGAGAAGTTGTCACCCAACTTCCTTAGGATTTCCTCTGGGGAACCCTTTTCCAGTGGGACTTTATCAGTCTCCATGGCCTATTCTCGAGGACACCCCTCTAGCTAAGGCCCAGGGATCCCCTCCCTTTGACTGAAAACTGCGCCTCGGGTCTCCCCCGTGCGTTGTGCTGGAACCGCCTGGCGTGGCATGAAATAAATGGACCCTGACATACACTGATGTGAAATCTGGACATGTGTACAACGCACAGCTATGTTGCGACCTCACATGACATCACCTTCATGCCGCCACAGAGCTATGGTACACTAGACTATCTGAGGTCCCCCTCCCAGATGGTCTTGTGCGTTGTCATGAAAGGAAAAACTTGAAAAACACAACGAAAGGACATGAGGGCACGGCACTTGCTCAGTGGGCACCCGACTGAAAGTCACCTGGCTCTACTATTTTCCTCTCGCGCATGGTGTTACTGCTGGGGGCGGTCATGCAGGCTGGATTGAAGCTCTTATCCAAGCCCCGAGCTGATGAATTCGGCTCTCCATGGCCGGAACGGGCCAGTGCTGCTGATCAGCGCAAAGGCCAAAAATTCGGCTTGGGCACCTTAGGCAGGCGGCCACCATGACGCTGGCGCTCGACGGAGGCACTGGTCACACCAGGGGCGCTCCCATGCCAGAGCTTCAAAGACGTCCGTGGACATGTATGGGTTCACCAGGCGCTTCGCCTTCCCATCGGCCTGCTTGTGCTGGCACAAGGTGATGCCGTCCTCGACCGTGACATGGGTGCTGGACCTCTCCGTAGCTGCATATCCCTGCGGCTCGGGGTGCTGTGTTCCCACCGCGGTGTCCTGGAAGGTCTTGTGCAGCCACTTCCGCATGCCTTGGTCGCGAATGACCTTGTTCAGCTCTGTATCCCTGCGGCTCTCCACGTAGTGGTTGGCATCCTCAATGGACTCGCCGGCCAGTAATGCACGGCAGAGGATGCCTAAGAAAGCACCCCGGTGTCGCCCCTTGATGCAGTGCACCACGACGTTGTCGCCGTGCCAAACAGTGTTCTTGACGGCCGGCCACACGTCTGTCCACTGTTCGTTGCGTTCCTGGCTGTATGCCGCCGCGAAGGTCATCAACTGAGCTCCCGGGAGGGTCACCCCCCCCGGCTCTCAGGACCATTCGGGAAGCAGCAGATCTGCAACGCTGTCTTGGGGAACTTGTCCACCGTCTGCCTCATTGGAAGTCCTGCCAGGTAGATGCCACCACCCTTCCGGGATGTCCAGATGCAAGTCGGGGCCTGGGCTGTCCCTGAGCCCACAAATAATGGCTCCAAGTGGAGGTCCAAGGTGTCTCCTGCTGCCTTGCCATGGCCTTTCTTTGGCATGGCCTTGATCTGTGGCTTCCCAGGAGCGGCCAAGCGCTTCGGCGTTGTGGTTGTAGCCCTGGCCTTAGCAGCTGTGACCGGTGGCTTAGGTGTAGTGGCTGCAGCCTTCGGAGGTGTCTTGGGGGCTGCAATGGCTGGCGCCTTGGGCGGAGTCTTGGGTGCAGCCTGACCTCGGGCTTTCTTGACAGCTGCGCGCATCACCTCGGCCATCTCGTCGTCAGTGGCACCGCTCGCCGCGGTCCTCTTCCGGCCAAAAGTGGCCTTCTCCCCCACGGCTGCCGGCACCAAGGTGGCCGATGGCTTGGGTGCCGCTGGCACTGCTGTTGCGGCCAACACCGCCCGCTTGATGTTGCAGACGCCTGCACCGTGCTTGCCACCACATGCCCGTCCTGACTTTTGTAGAATGGCACACAAGTGCACTCCGAAGGGGCAGGAGTCTGCCGGATTCGGGCACTCGTCCGTCTGGAACTCCGGGCAAATGGCCTTACCATTCTTCGAAGTGGCCGTCAGCACCTTGCCATTGAGTTGATCAGGCATCTGAGGTGCCGGTGCGGCTACGGCCTCTTGCCGGGCTTGCTGTGCCGCTTCAACAAACTGCTGTGACAACTTGAGCCTCTTCTTCACGTCCTGGAAGCTGTGCGCAGAGGCCCAAATAGGTTGGCGGTCTTGTCGCAGCAACCTGTCAGCTTCAGTAAGGCCATGAGCTCGGGCTGCATCTAGCTCTGCCTGCGGGATCACCTCCCACAGCAGGTTGCTAGCGAGCTTGGCCGTAGCGCCCCAGATCAGGGATTTCACCTTGACTGACGCGGCGTATTTTGCCGAAGAATAGTGAAATGCCATCGCCCCCACCTCTGGTTGCTCACTCTTGTTTTGCCAGTCGCCCAGGGCTGCCATTTCTTCAGGCCTGCATCCTAACAACTGGGCCACCGTGGGTGCAAGCCTCCTCCAGCTGTAGGTGGTCAGATCTTCTGGATTGTCGAGGAACACGGACATTTCCTGTTGCATCGTCTCTTGCACTTCTAGGATCGTCCATGGGCGCCCTTCGTCTGAGAAACAAAGGCCTGCAAGTCTCTGCCTTGCTGGTGCCAGCGTCCTGTATGCCTCCAGCACTTCCTTGGCCCAAAAGAAGCCGTTGGCGAATGTGGCCGGCACCGCAAAGTCGAAACCTTCGCGGGCATGCTTTTGTTTTCCCTTAGGGCACCTGCAATGGAGGAATGCAGCGGTGAGGCGCCGAGGTTCTGACCGCGCGATGTGCGCATACCTCAAACAGCCAAACGACATGATCCAAGGAGCCAGAAGAACTGACCACCTCTCATCGCCGACCGCGTGCAACTCCGTGATGCGGTCCTCCAAGGCCTGCACTAATGGCGGCTCCACCACCGGTGCTTGCCCACGCTGCCCAGTCGCCCTGGGGGTTGTAGGCACTTGCAAGTTTCCCAGCTCCATGTCTTGGTCGGCATTCTTGTTCATCCATTTCAAGGCTTGGAGTGCTCGTGCTGGCGCCTGGGTGTGGTTGAGGAACTGATCCAGGTCGACCATTCCAGGAGGAGCGGGTCGCCCCCGACTCTCCAAGAAAGCCCTCAGCTCCAACCAGGTGTTGACCACTCGGTCAATGGTCGCCTTCTCTGCGTCCTTCACCTTCTTCTCGGCGATCCTCTTGCACGTTTGTTTCCATTCGGCCTTGAGGGTGTCTGTCAAGATGCCAGCTGGTTTGTATGCGCCCATTCCGACGAACATCGACACCAAGCCGTTCACCCGCTTCTGGACGGCCTCATCCAGGTTCTTGGTGACGTTGACGGCCTTGGGCTTTTTCTTGTAGATTGTCTTGCGCACAGGGCGCAGAGTGACGGAACCCTTAGGGTTGTCCTCCACGACTTTGGCCCCAGCAGCAAGGAGGTGCTCTTCCACCCTTGCTCTTGTCTGCAGCCAGTCATCTGCTACGTGATGGCCAGCTAGTCCAACGACTTGATCGTAGTCGGTGTAGGCATAGGCGAAGTCGTTGTCGTCCAGGAGCCCTTCGTTCTCCCTCCATTGACGCGCACGCTGTGCAGCTATCATCATCAAGGAGTCGGCTGCTCTCCATCCCGGTTCAGGGTCACCCCCTGACGAGGACGAAGCGGCCGCTTGAGCTGCGTAGTAGCCTTTGCCGCCTGATGCCATGGCGCTGCACCCTAACAAGATTGCTAAGGTGCGGAGAGCAAAAAGATGCTGCGGTGACTTCAGAGGTGCCTCCTCTGTCATAAAATCAACCTGCAGCAAACATCTTCTTACGTCCTCCACAAGTGCTGCATGGCTCACGCCAGGTGAAGCAGTCACTACACATCCCGACGCAGCATGCCCAGCACACGCGCCTGGTGGGATCTCCGCACTCTGTGCAGGCGGTGCCCAGCTGGAGCATGCCTGCAT